CTCACATCATGCGACCAAACATAACGGCGACCGTTAAATGTCACATCAGATGCAACAAAGCAAAAGGTCACATTGTCAGCACCCAGTTTATACAGACTGTACAGACTCGAGATGTCAACATCAACAGACGGGGAATTTGGGGTGCTACCACTCACACACACAGAATCTCGAGCAGTAGCCACAGACTCACACGGTGTATTCGGCGGCACCGCACACACTTCATATGGTTCCTGCCTCCATGAGAGATCACCCCCACGCACATCAATCGTCACCAACGTGTTTGTAATCACAGTGGCATTGAAAACAAAGGGATCCTGCAATACTCTTACTGGAAGTGCAGCGGGAGACATACCAACCTCTGCACCGTAATCCGCGCAGACAGCGTAGTCACCTGTTGTTGCAGAGAAGGGCCCACCCTTAGCAGACAAGTACACACGATCCGTGACAGCGGTCCCAGTACACACATCAACCCTCACTGCCTGCTCACCACTGTTTAGTGTCTCTCGTGGACACCCACCGTATGGGCACTTCACCAGGAACACACTGTTCATATCAGTCACATTTGCACCTGTCACTGCGTCCTGGAGCAACAGCGTGTTTTTCCAGAGAGTGTTCATATACAGCTCGTTTGGCACCAGGACCATCACCTCGAGGGGAATTGCACCCCACGGCAAGTAGTGGCCTCGCCATCCACTCGCGGTTAAGCAGAGTGAGTAGTTCCCAGGAATAGGAAGGGATGCAGAAATCGCCAAATTGTAGCACCCAGCAGCAACAGTACAGTTTTTTGCGATGGCATCACAGTCTGACTGAGGAGGAACCAGCAGGTAGTTCTAAATGGCATTGATATTTGGGAAGTTTGTCCGCACCATTCTCTTCAACCCATAATAGGCACTGTTAGAATTAAATGATGCTATTGTCGTGAGAGAGTTCACAAAACTCATGGTGAAGTTGTTCGTCACTGGAATAGGGTCCTTTAGCAGAACATTGTTCACAATGACAAGACTCATATCCCCTGATGGAGCACCTACAACGATTGGCACAAATCTAATGAGATTTGTTCCCTCCACAAGAGAAGCTGACCATCCAGGATTGAGTCCAGCATTGTTGTAATATCCAACGTTAAAAGTCATGGTACTTAGAACATTGGCATTGTCCACCTCGCAGTGTTGTGTTGTTTGACTGGGGGAGACCACCATATTAGGAAAGCAA